GGGTATATTTATCAGCCTTAAAACAACCGTGCTACAGCAGACTATCACATCAAGCTGGTGGTGTTGCTGATACAGAGGTCATCTGGCACCAGCGATTTCTTTTATTTCTCTCACAACACCAGGGGCGATGGGTAGATGAACGTTTTGGTGGGGTTATGTTGTTTCTATTTCTTTACCACCAAATAGCAAGCAACATAAACAAAACAGCGATGGTTTATCTTTACTTACGGTGAGCCACGGAATTATGAGAACCACTTATTTGAGAAAGGTCGCTTTTTTGTCTTCCATCTTTTTGTTCTTAGTTAAGTACTCCTGTGTGGTAGGGACAAAGCTGTTTCACCTCTAACATTTCCTTTACTTTTAGCTGACGTAAGCGTTATTATTAAAAGTGCTTCGGTGTGGTTTATTACAATTAAATCTCAGCTACACAAACATCACCATGCACAAAAAGTATTTCAAACGTATCCTGTCTACGAACTGGGCGAGGCCGTGTTGTCGTTGAAAATAGAAAGCACCTAAGTAAGGCCATATGACTCATCCTTCATTGAACCTTAAAGATTTTTTATTGGCTGTTAGGTTGCTTTCGTTGTAAGCGGGGCAATTGTGGTTGGATAAACGACCAAGCCGCCAAGCTGATCAGTCTGTGTCCATTGCGTGCGATCATAACAGTTTCAACTATTTATTTCGTTATTTATGAAACATTCATTTATTTAGATATAGAGATTGTGGGGGGGGGGGGGAGCTCAAACTCTTCAGCCCCTCCTAGGCACCGCCACCTAATAATACCACCCCCTTTTTATTCATATCTTATATCTATGTCTGCATCAGCAACGGTCTAAAACTTTATCGTTGTTTAGTGCCGAAACCACAGGTAATCCCCTTGGAAAGAAATTGTTAACATTTACATGTATTTTGTTTCGAAGCGTGCTCTGATCGAATGCAGAAGATATTTCCCAGCTGGGTTGGGTGCCATTATTATTGTTATCTCTACGATTGCTTTGGAAGCTCTCATTGCTGGAATTTGATTCATAGATTGTCGGCTCGAGGGCAATCGTTCCTTATCTAATATAACCCGGCACTGTCTCTCACTCGTCTTTCTCCACATTGCCTTCCTCTCCCTTGGTGGGTTTTCCCCCCACATAACATGTTGAGAAGGGGGCAAAACCCTATCGAATGTCGAGCTTATTTTAAGTAAACGTTAAACCCTATCTTTTAACTGAATCCCATCTAACAGGCTAGTTGTATTTCCGAGATTTATCAATTTAATCATCCACAGACGGTACTGACCTATATAATGGCAGAAAAAAATATGAAAAACCGCACGTAGTTCCTCTTCTTCAAGAAGAAAGAGCACTGAATCAGAAAAGAAATTAGCCTTGATGCAGAATGTAGAGAACAATGGATGCAGTGTAGCGATGGTGCATCTTCACCAGCTGCTGATGCATGGTGTAATCATCATTTTCAAAGTAAGAACACTTCTGATTTACCAGTACATGCACCAACAGACGTGGATATCTCACAAACCTACCACAGTCTGGTAGAAATAAGATAACAAATTACTTACCTTGTCCACCAACAGTGTGCCACAGGTTAATAATGTGCAACAAAATACTTTTTTTTCTGTTCATGTCCAATCAGTTAACGCATCGACCCGAAGAGAGCTACACAGCTGTTAGTTAGCCGAAAACTACGTGTATCATGACAGTGTGCTGCGAAGTATTATGGCAACAGACTCTCCTGCTGAGGGTATTTTCAATGGTGTATAGATCTATTGATTCATACCTGTACGTTCGTAATTAAAAAGTCTTGCCAGAGAATGCAAGTCAGTAAAATTTCCAGCTTAAAAGTTTTCATTCCTTAAAAGATGAATGATATTCTCTTTTTAAAAAATCATCTTACAGTGACCTACACCCCCCCCCCCCCCCCCCCCCCCCCAATCTGGTCAATATGTGCAAAGCTATTGGTAACCCCTGAGGCACTACATGCGATAGGGACATGACTTTTGACTTGGACATATATAGACTGACAAGCTCCCATTCTGACACAGGAGTAAAGATAAGTGAAATAAAAACCTGCCACTACTGTTGTTAGCTAAGAGTCCACTTATTATTTGACACACTGTCTTAATTCAGATGCACCCACTTGCAAACACACAGACCTGCTCACAAAGTGTATCCATCTACACTTGCAAAAGCATTAGAGTCCACAATTCCTTTTCGCGAATGTCGGAACGCTACCTAATTTATGCTATATTGGTAGGCAGCAAAAATAAAATACAATTTCATCCAAACAATCCCTTGGCATACCAATTACAGATCAAATATTAACTAAAAATCCAAATATTTCCTCAAGTAGATAAGTCACTGGAAGCTCATCTCACCTGAAGGTAATTGCACAAGTAAAGTCCTACTGCACTGAACAATACATGCACGAATCTGCATTTGTTGTGAAAAAATCAGGTACATGTACGTTATAGTATCAATAAAGATTGAGGAAAGCTAACCCGCATCGGCTGTTCGATGGAAGCACAACCAGCACAGAGTGAGCATTAGGTTCTCTGTCCCGACACCCTGCTCACGATAGCGGGCGCGTGCGCATCAAGAGCTCACTGTCGGCCGTCATGACTCTGTGTTGAGCCCGCGCACCTTGTTGTCTCCGGGAAAGAAACAGGAGGGGTGGGTGGGGTGTAGTCGGGCAGGACGAGGGAGGGGAGAGTGTGAAGACAGGGGTAGAGCAACTGAGGAGGGGAAATTGATCGGAGGACGGGCGG